ACTTATATCTTCTTCAGTGTTCTCTTTCTGTAAAGTGTTGCACTGGAAAACATTGTGAAAAAACAGTTTTCTTCTAAATATAAATTGGAAACCCATATTGTCAGAATAGGATTTTCTTCTTTTACTGAAGGACACAAAATTAACAGTAAAGTCACCACGAGAGAGCATACTATGCACCTTCTCTGTGGGAATCAGTTACACTAAGCAAAACATGGCATTCCTTAGGCGGGACAGCCGAGCCATTAGAGCTGGAGAAGTGCAGTCAATGGCACACAAAGCCACAGTAGAACTGCTTGGATCATATTTCCTTCCATCCTTTTCTCTAACATACTGCTCTCTAGCATCTCAGTGCTAACTATTTCTGAGGGCTCAGTTTCTTGATATTAAAAAAGCTAAGGAAGTAAAAAAAAAAGGGTCAAATGATAAACAGAAAATCTAAGAAGAGCAGGAAGCAGTAGAGAGTCCCAAGAGATTCCAGTTAGGATTTACAGTGATTTTTTTGTTGTTGCTCTTTCAAATCTACACAGGAAAGTGCATGTTACTGCATTCTAGATGTTTAGATGTTTGTCCTCATACTTCCCCACCCACTCTCTTTATGAAATTTATTTGACAAATCAGAAGTATGACTTTGGTAGAATTAAGATTGGGGTTTAGAATATAGGTTCACAAATTAATGCTTCATGTGGAAAATATGTTTGGCATTTTGAATGTCAAATAAACCAAGGGCAACATCCACTCCTGCCTTGAATGTCCTTTTCACCTAGGAAAGTTCTGAAACTTCCTAGTCTTCGATCACTGGATCAGGAAGATTTGTACCTGCCCACAGCACTTTTATGGATTAGTAACATACTGCAAGTCAAAGCACTTTTGGAAAGTTTTAATCCCCATTCAGGAGCACAAAGAATGTCAGCTCTTCACTGGTCCTTAATAACATAATGCTATCATCAGTGGTAAGAAACAGGCTACCGAGTCTGTTCTCAGTGGAGTTTTTTTCAGGATAAAATTACCTGGTTGTTTGATACTCTCTATCTTGAGCTAACTGTCCCAAAATGGAACTGACTAAAAATGGCTAGTCACTTATGGAAAAAAAATGGCATAATTTAATTGTGAAGTTTGCTTGTTTGTGTCTAGTGAGTTCAGGAGGGCAGACAGGTAAGAAGAGGATCAACCTTGTGAGAGAGTTGAGTCTATGCAAAACTCAAGCTAGTTCTGCTAAATCCCGTTCACATTCACTAGAACCTACTTGACCACTGTTGATAAACTTTTCATTTTTATCATTGAAGTGTTATCTTTTCATTGCTTCTGTCACCTTCAGGAGAGCTGTTACCCAATTCTGGGTGCCATTTGAGGAAGCAAAAATTAAGTAATAGGCAGCAACAGAGGATGTATGACGCTGCACTGAGAAAATTCATCTCTGATTAACACCAGGTTCCGTAAATGTTACCCATAGCAGAGGGAGTACTGGATGCTTCCCTGTCTGAAGTTCCTTTCTGGACGCTTTCCCCACTCACTTAGTGTTTGTTCTTCTGCAACAGCAAGGAAATGAAGAAGAGGAAGGAAAAGAGGCAATGAGCACACATCTGATGAGGAAGGGGGTAGATTAAGGTACTAGAGGTACCCTTAAAGTTTATGCAACTGGCCTGTGCTCAGCAATCAGTGTCCGAACAAGGCACAGAAGCAGCTTTCCTGTTAGACAAAAGCCATGAGAAGGAAAGGAGAAGTGGAGCGCTTTGGGTTCCAGGAAATCAGTATGGACCAACCAACACCCTGTCCAGACAGCACAGGCCCTGCCCTTTCCCCTCACCTACCATATTGTACATCTTTATCAGTCATAGAGTAGTTTTGGGTGTTGTTCAGCATCAGCTAATGACGGGTATCTTTGTCCCAAGTGAAGCAATCTGAAGACCCATTCCTTTTGTGTGACTTACCCAGAGGCCCGGGGGCAATTCCAGAGACCAGTTTTTCAGCCTATTCAGACTGTTATTTTTGTTAAATTAGAGTCTAATAAGGTAGTAACTTCACTTCAAACAAAATGAAAGGGGCAGACTCCCTTCTACACATAGAGTTTAGCCAAATTTAGTAAAAGAAAAAGCACTGCTTAGTCAGGGAGGCGTAAGGCTACAGAGCAAGTCTGATGTCCAGCTGCCCCCTGTCAGCGAGCCCCTTACCCTGATCAGGAAGAATTTCTCCTATGCATGAGAAAACCCTTAAGACAGTTTCTTTACACATTGCATTTGGACCCCAAAGATTTTCTAGCGTATTAATCACCTCTTCATGTGGACCTCTGAGCGAGATGAAAACCTTTCCTCCTCAGAGGTTCAAGCTGTATATCGTGGATTCGCAGTAACTGCTGCAACCACACTTTTGAACGGCTAATCAGGTGTTGCGTTACATGAAATTACATGATTTTTAAGCACTATTGTATTTTTGCCCAAGTGTTTGAGCTTTCCAATGCTGTGAATATCAGGTCTGAAGTAAACAATCTTTTTTTTTTTCCCTATTGTATATGTCACCACAAAGTTTAAAATGGACCTGGGAACACACCTGGAGAACGACTGTCAAGAGAAAAGATGTCAAACCTTGTATTCTTATTGGCTTCTTAGATGTTTTCTTTATTTAATTGTATTGAAAACAGTAATTCTTTAAAATTCTTGTTGTATTTAATTGCCAGTGACAGAGCTGATGTTTTTGTTTCTGGGCCTGAAGAACAACCTGGTTTTTACAGAGTAAATGTGCTATGTTATGCTTGGGATCCCTGCTCAGTGCAAGGGAATCTGCTGAGGTTGAAGGGCTGTGGTTTGTAATGAACTTGTTGGCAGCTTAGAGTTCTGAAAAAAGGAGATTAGTTTTGCAGGCTCCTAGAACACAAGCCATCTTTATCTCCCAGTAAAGTCTGTAGGGCTGAGTTTCATATTGGGAGTGGTCAGCATCTTGCTGAGTTAAATTGTCATATATGGTTGTATGCTGAGACTGGAGAATACCCTCCAGTACACCTAAGAATGCACTGAAATTATTTGTATGTATTATAATGGTGTTTAAGAGTCACAGCTGTTCAACAGAACTCAGTTGTGCTGGGTGCCGTACAAACACGGAGTGCGAAAGTTGGTCCCTGACCAACTGGTTCTGTAAGCGTGTGCTTTGTTTTTGCACTAGGGAGATGTATGGGGGTTTTTGAATGTGTCAACCCCAACACTGCCATTCAACTGAGTCAAAGGTACCAGCTGAGTGGGTGGATTTTTACAGAAGGCCTGGCTAATTTTTAGACCATTAGTAACGTGTAGTTGAGGAAGATAAGATAATGAATAGTATGATCCAGTCTCATGCTGCAGAGTGCAAAGAGTTCAACTGCTAGAGTTAAGAAAGAATTATTTTCCCCATCTATGCCATTGCACAATAGTAGAGGTGCTGGAGAGAGGGGGTGTCTGAACTGTCGGGTGTGGGGTTACAGCAGGAGGCAGGATATTGGACACACTGTAGTTTATTGCTGACCAGTACAGAAAATATTTTTTTTTCTTACATTTCAGAAGTGTATAACTAGTTCTGAAAGGGCAGCCTTGCCCTTCAATTCCTCAACAGCCAGCAAGCATTAAGAGTGGAGCTGAAGCCTGGGAACTGTATTGCAAGAGCAGGAATCTATTTCTATCTCTCCGTGCTGAGAATGGCTGAGAATATTGTCCATGATGACTTTGTAGAGATGGTATAAAACACCTTTAAAGTTTGTGAGCACTTCAGATGAGAAGGACAAAAGATTATAAAGTGATTGTTTAATATTTGGATGCACAACTATCAATTGCAGGACTTGAAATGAGGGATTCTTTCCACAGTGTGGTTTAGGTGGATCAGTGTCATCTCTTGAAACAAGTGAAGAATCTTCTGATTTCAGCCTTGCTAAGCATAACATCAACAGCTGCTGGTTCTCTGTATGATTGTGGAGCTGTTATGGACTCACAGAAAAGTACAGAAATGTCCCTTGTTTTCTGTAGAAACCTCAGAAGGTCTTTTCTTAATATGTGTGTGTATGAGTGCAGGTAAGAATTACCACTCAGAACTCTAGAGCTGTTTTCCCAGCCAGGAAAAATGGTGTCCTCTATTTCAGCTCTATTTTCACCATCCAGAATAAAGAAAGGTAGAGATGTTGAGTGGTGCAGTACACATTAATTCTCCTTACAATTAACATTTCATAAAAGCAGGCTCCATTTGGGTACTAATTTATTTTAATTTTTGTACGCACACCCTAGACTTCTTCACTTTCTTTGGAGACACCGAATACATCAGCTAATACTCATATTTACAAGCAGTATATACCTATGTGTTTAGATGCCTGTATATACTGTTATAGCACAATTTTCCTTGAAGTTAGATTATAGCATAGTGCAGGTAATTAAACAGTGATCTCTATACAAATTAAAAGGGTTGGTACATTCCTTTAATATGGAAGTACAATTACAGTAATTTTATGTGCATACTGGCTGCATAAAAGCACACATGCAGTTCTGAAGACTCGGCCCGTGTTTTGTATGTGTTAGTGCTGTTGGCACATGCAAATGTGAGGCTTACTCACAGAGAGAGGCTGCCTTTGAAGCTCTACCGCTGCAGAATTGCTATGCAAATTGGCCAGCACTCCAAGACTCAGTAGATTTTCAAATGGTTTGGGAAACACTACTTGAAAATTAAGACTCTTCTTCCCATTTCCTATTAAGCACTGCCAGATCTGAGCAATACACAATACACGCTGAATACATGCATTTCCTTTTGCTTTTTCCCAGATTGTGCTGGAGTTTCAACTGGAACACCGCAGCACTCCCAAGCTATGGCAGTTACAGACTGTCACCAGACAAGCTACTAGGGTATTACTGGCTCGCTTACTATTTATTCATTATAACTTAACCACTGTACAGGCTCAAGGTGAGCTGATTATATGAACAGTTCATTCCACATCCTTCTGCGGCCATCTGAGACTGGCGATTCAGTAGATGTCGTGTGCAGCATTGGAAGGTGTCTTAATCCATTAATTTTGCGTTTGAGCATATTTTGTATTTAACTTGTTCCTCAGCCTACTTCCCGTGTGATAGCACGAATGCTTGCAAGCACACTCGCAATATTTTTTTCATCACGATCAGGCTCCAAGCCAGAACTGATGTCAAGGATCAGTGTAACGAGAACAGCAGGTTTCTGGAAAAGGAATGATGGCATGCACACGGCATCAGCAGGGACATCACAAGTATTGAGACACTGGTTTGTTTTTGAAAGTCTGAACTCAAAAATCAGCTGGGAAAGCAATGCGATTCCAAGTGACTGCATGCAATGTAGGTCAGTTGAATGCAAAAGTGAAAGCACATGTACCATCAGATTCCCACGTCTGGAGGGGGAGGGATGTCAGCCTGCAAGGGCAAAAAGCCCCAGAAGTCATGTGTGACTCGTGTTTTCCGGTGAGTAACAAGCGCTGCCATCCCGCGTGGATGGGAAGGGCCGAGAGCAAGTCCCGGGGTGGGCGAGTCCAACCGGAGGGGTTGGATGCCCGGCTGGGAGAGATGCACGTTTGCGCACACACGTACCCCCGAATCCCACCGGCACTGCCGCGCTGGGGGGGTGCAGCCCCCCCTGCGCGCCCCACGCGGGCGGGGCCGGCCGCTGCTCCCACAGCTTGGAAGTCACCTAGGAAAATGATTTGGGAAACAAGTTATGGGTTGGTTTTTTGTTTTTTGTTTTTTTTTTTCTCCCTGTGGCTGAGTAAAAATGATTTGTTTACACAGAGTCATTAATTTGGATTAAGTGTGTGTATGAATTTTAAATGGATCGCTGTTCCTCGGTGGCATGGATGCTCTTCCAGGATGTATGTGTTGTAATGCAAATTAATTTTACTTACTTCCAAAGTGGATTCCAAATTAGCATCCACACAGGGAATTAATTAGGAGTAGCTTTTGCCTCACAAACACCACCCCACCCCCCCGGTTTGAATCCCACGGTTCTTTGGGGGTCACTGCTGTAAGAGGGGACTAAGATATTTGAAATGCACCTCTTGCCTCGTAGTCATTGCCTTCAGAAAGCCAGAACACTGAGCATAAAGGCTTCTTCATATTAAAGACAGATCACCCTATCTTAAACTTCTTCTAGACAGCATAACGTATTATTAAAAATTCCTAAGGGGCTGTTAAAAATAATTATTTCTAAGGGTATGGAGATACGAATATGTTACTGTGGGGTAAGGTAAGGTAAGGTGTGAACTTGCTGCATAACATCTATGCTGTGGTTTGCCTTGTGTGCTTACTTTTAGCCTGTGGTGAACGTGAAGCTACCCCAGTATGCAGGAGGAAGTATCTCTCTTAACTTGAGACATCTTGGTAAGCACCATAGCAAAACAGCAATATTTTTATTTCTCCTTAACGACTTGAGGATGTTTCTGATACTCACACATCTAATGCATGAGTGATGTCAGATTCTGACCACAGTAGCATCCTATGGCAACGTGTTCCTCTGTTTGACCGAAAAGAGCTGTCAGAGCAGGTGATGAATGAAGAGTTCAAACTTCAGTGCTGAGAGAGACCAGCCTGTGAGTAATGGTCTGTCACTGGCCTCAGATCATGAGCTGTTTGCATAACTTTGGCTCAGGACAAACCCAAGCCGAAGATGACAGATGATGCCATATAAGCTTTCCCAGTTCCTCCAGTTGGCTCATTCCAGTCTGATCCAGATCAGCTGGGCCCCAAGGTCATTAGCAGTCTAGAGCCATTTATTGGCAAGGGTGACAGAGTTTGTGGCCTCCCTCCCACTGTTCTGAAGGATGACAAAATGGAAGGTAAACAAATAAGAGGAGTTATTTGCTACACATGGCCTACTCTGAAGCTTCAGCAGTAGGGAGGAGAAGGGATGAGACCATGGTAACATAGGCTAGTGCTGTTCCTTCATAGAAGCCACCACCCAGCCAATGTCCCTGGTGTGCATGTGATTGCTGTATGCACAGATGAGAGCAGTATCACACTCTCCTCAGGATTTAGCCACTTCCTACATTCGTGGTTTGGTGAGCAGAATAATGTGTTTGATCGCCTCAGAAAGTGACTAAAATTAGAAATTAAGCTGAATGTGATTTCCAACTGCTTTGAACCAACTGTCATGGCTGGCATTTCCCCCTTATCCTTTGTCCTGTGAGTTAGCTACTCCTTACTCTTGTTGGGGGGCTCAAAGTAAAGGCAGTGGTGTCCTTGTACCTGACCACTAACTGACCTCCTGTGAGTAAATAGGAGGAACATACACACAGGACTAAAGTGTACTTGGACATACAAGACTAGTCTTCAGCTAGGTTGCTCATGTTGTGCCTACCATTAATAGCAGGAGCCTGACTCAGTGGCATGGTCATACTTTCCAGTCCTGCGTTCTCTGTGCTCAATGCCATTCTGCTGGGCATAGCACTGGCAGTTTTGACAGACACACCTCGCCTTTTCCCCACTGCCTTTTATGTATCCAGAGCACTGAGGTGAGCATCCATTAGTTGGGTTTAGGATCTCCTACAGGTAAGCTGTTTTCTTCATCCTTAGGGGAATTCCTCCTGCTCCTGGTTAAGGCAGAACCTTTTTCCTTGGCAGATGGTAGCAGGCTGCAGTGCATCTTCCCTGTTCTTCCCTCTGCCTTCCCTTTGGTTTGAGATTCAAACAAAAACAGACACTGAAATCAAATAGACCCTGTAACCCATATTTCATCATTAATCCTCCTTCCTTACTGCCTGGTCTTATTCTATGTATTCCCTTGGAAATCATGTAGGAGAATCATGGTCATGGGGGAGCTGTCTGAGTCTCATAGAGGGTTCTGGTAATGTACCCACCCTTCACCATGGTCAGGGTCAGGCTACTCCTCTTGGCTATATTTTCACTGGAAAAAAAAACAAAACCAAAAACAAAAACAAACCTATTAGGTCAGCAACTCAAAAGATCAGGGAAGGAAAAGGCTTCTCAGTGAAGGCCAGGGCCTCCAGCAAATGAAAAGGAGAAGGAAGAGCAACTGTATACAGCCTGGGACTTGGTGAACGCTGCCAGACATGCATCTTGAGTTTTTGGCTGAAACTGTGCAGTACAGTGGGTGAGCAAAGTTCAGAGTGAGGAGGGCACCCTGTTGTTTGTTCACACTCTAGTGTTGGTAAGGGTCTCTTGAATGATCTCCTCGTGCTTACATCTGCTACTTCGGGCACAGCATTGATTGTTGGCCCCCCCTCCATTTATCTCTTTCTCATTCATTCATGCATCTAAATGTAGCAACACTGGTTTGAGTGCAACCTGCTCCTAATGGAGCTCCACTCCTGGTGGAGTCCCCATCCCTGGAGGTGTTTAAGAGTAGAGTTGACATAGCGCTCAGGGATATGGTGGAGTTGGGAACTGTCAGTGTTAGGTTACTGGTTGGACTGGATGATCTTCAAGGTCCTTTCCAACCTAGACGATTCTGTGATTCTCTAATACTCAAGTTTAAGACCTTCAGCTTGTTTCTTTCAAGCTCATCCATTGCATTATTACCATTTCGTCATTCAGGCAAAATGTTCTCCATGATACTTATCTGAGGAACCTCCTCCTCCTTTCCAGGGTGCCTGATACTCTTGGAACCGAAGAGCATCTCATCCAAGTTCTGCAATGAGTCTCTCTCCAGACTTTCTAACGTGAACACTAAAAACCACTTGAGGGGCGATTTTTCATCCTGCATGCTTAAGTATCCATAGGTTTTCATTGTCCATCTAGATTTAATCCCTTCATTCTTCCCTTAGCTCTCTGCCATCCATTTTGTGTTGAAGGTCCCACCAAATCCAGAACTGCTGTTCTGTTCACTTCTATTAAGATGGTAATTTCTATTAGATCCTCTGGATTCTGAGGTTAGGTCCTTTGGAGAAAGGAGAGAATTTCAGTCAGTCTTTCCAAATCTCTGATATTTGTGCTCATATCAGGACTCAGAAGGGAAGCACGTTTCACATGGATGGGGACTTTGCTGAAAGAATCTAACCTGTCTCTTACCTCAGTGACTCCATGTTGTAGGGAGCTGCAGTTTGTAAGCAAACAGTAGCACTAAAAATAAATATGTTTTCCCCCATCTCCATGCTGTTAGTGTTTTGTGTGAAAGGATGGCTGAGTGGGTGGACTGACTTTTCTTTGTTCCTTTTTCTTTCCTTTTGTTTTGTTTGTTTAGCTTAAAAATACGTTGTTGTCATTTTCACGAGAGGTGACCCAGCCCGAGGCCTTTTCAGTTTTCTTTGTTCTGAAGTGGGGCCATAGTTTCTCCCTTTCAGGCAGCCTTGGCTTCAGGTATTTTAGCAGAGTGAGGGGCTGCCAGTCCAATTTATCTTTGCAGCTTCTTTCCAGCCAGTTGTTCACCACTACAAGTTGTACACTAGTACAAGTCTCCCCCATTGTCTTCCCTGCTGCCCTATCACAAACCCAGCCTAAGACCCATATGGGCCACTTGCCAACACATAACTCTGCTCTAACATGGGATGAATCGCTTGATATTGCCTTTTTTAACTTGTTTTTCAGGTAGTTCCTACCCTTTGAACACTGACATTTTTCAGACTGTCATTCAAACAGTTCATCAGGTCTCAACCCCAGCCTCTGAACTTAATGTGCCTAATTTTTGTGGACTAGAATAAAACAGAACAGAACTTTTCCAAGTGCCTAAGGTATTCTATCTCAGTGAATTCCTCTAGGAATTCCCCCACATGTACAAAACATTTCTTCCAAAGTTTGGGCACAAAAATGTTATCCTTCCTCCATGAGTAATTAAGCTTGGATCTCCCTTTAACGAGATCTGTGTGAATTCCAAAAGCATGCTGGCATGGCTACATGTCCTAAGGTGGGCCAGGATTATCAGAGTTAATGGTAACAAATGGATTTTGCAAAGGATATAAAATCTTACCTTTTTTCAATTAGAGTCAATCTGTAGGAAGCTGGAGAAGTCCTTTATGTAGAAGATCATGTCTGGCTATGATGAGCATCATGTCAACCTTTAAAGTACAATACTGCACTCTGTGATTAGCGTGTGCTTTTCTGGAAGGATGAAACAAAGCCCCATTCTAGCAGGTTGCCAGGCTTGGCCTTGCCATCCTCCATCTTCAGCCTCATATCCTGCAGGCTGCAGTTCTGTGGCACTGTCTGAATACTTGCTAGAGGCAGAGGTGGTGGAGCATGAGATTCTGTTGCAGAATGGCAATTACTGTGTTCATCTGAGGCAGGGGTGCCCAGAATAGAGCATGGAGACAAGAATGGCTGCCATTCTGATCTGATGTCCAGTAATAATGCTACTTTCAGTTCTGCTCGTAGAAACCTTTAAGTGTCTAGCCACTAGTTATTTGGTCTCCTCACAGAAAAAAATTCTATTACTTGTTTGTTCATTCAGATCACTGCCTGCTTTGGGAATAATGCACAGTAGAAAGAAAAGAAGAAAAAAATCCCACAGAAATGTC